GTCTGCAACCCCCCTAACTGAAAGAAAAAAGTTGGCAGCATGAGCTTTGGTAGAGTTAAGTCTACCAAAGCTCATGCTGCCAACTTTTTTCTCCCATACCCTCATTGTCCCAGTGACTCCAACACCTTCATATTACACAAGGGTTGTATTACTAAATCTTTTTCTATTTCTATAAGGCAGGGGTAGGCAACCTTTCCCCTTTAAGGGCTGAGGGACTTCATCTCCCAGAATCCCAGGAGCTATTGGCCAACATGGGACTATTAGCCAACATGGCTGAGGCTTCTGGGAGCTGAAGTCCTTCGGCCCTTAAAGGGGAAAGGTTGCCTACCCCTGCTATAAGGAAAACATACGATGTTTAAATTTTATCACCCAGGCAAATCTGAAATGCACAACCTTGCCCCCTTCCCATGGGCAAACCTAGACTTTTTTCTAAATATTTATGACTTAAGTCCAGATTGTCTAACAGTCCACATTTCTTTGTATGAGCCTGTCTAGGGTTTGAGAGGTTCAGGAGAGGCCTTTGGGGCAGTTTCATCTCCTTCACAAACACAGCATGAGGTCCTGAGACAGGGCCTTCCCCATGGTTGCCCCCAGGATCTGAAACTTGATTCCAAGAGACCATAATGGTCTTCTTCCTCTTTGGCCTTTTGTCAGCAAAGACCTTTTTTAATGCTAAAAAGCTTTTATAGAGGATCATTTTAGAATCATAAAAGGCTTTTAGAAAGGGCTTTAGATGACACTGTATAGTACTATTCAGAGATATAACCATGCTAGTTTGTAAAATCAATAGCAAAAAGACCTTACAGACTTAAGGCTAGGAAAGAAGCTCATGCTGCTAACTTCTTTCTTTCAGTTTTAGTCTCAAAGGTGCTACAAGATCTTTTTGCATATTGTATTATATTGTTTTTACTCAGCTGTTGTGCTTCCTTTTAAAAACCTTTTTTGCTCTTTGTTTAAATTGTTTGAAGTATCATGACTAATTCTATTTTAATGTTAACTTTGGTATGATTTTAGCTATATTGTATTTGTTTCAAATTGTAAGCTGCCTTGCTTCCCAATTTGGGGGTTGAGGTGGGGCATAAATAAAGATTATTGTTACTTATTAGTTATATGTTGTCTTTCCTTAAAATAGTTCAAGGTGGGATTCTTCCTCCATCCCTACATAATAGAAGGACTGAGAGATCATTCTCTCCCCTAGTGAGTTGCAGTGTCCCAATGAGGAACTGAAGCAGGTTCTCCCAATTCCCAGTCTCCTACTTCAAGGTCTAATCACACTGGCTCCAAGCATTTCTGTCCCTAAAACATAGAAACAAACATGTTCTGGCAAGAACTAAAAGTTACCCCTACCAGTGAATGTCTGAACTTAATTTATGCACAGGCCTTGTGTATGATGTGATGGCCAAGTCTGGTGGAATATGGCCTACAACTACCATTCACACATGCACTCCATATGCCCTGCAGTTGTCAAATGAGAACTGTATATGTCTGATTCTGAAATGTTTCCACAATTCACCACTAATCCTAGGTTTTTAGATATATTCATCTTCTAGATCATTCACAGAAACTACTTTCCTCAAGGATTTTAATGGGGATGGGGAAAATTCTCCAATCTTTCCACCTTCAATTTAAAATAATCAAGGGATCAGGAAAATTATGGATACTAACTTTTGGACTGGTTTAACAAAAGGCTCTACAAATATTAATTGACCTGAGACAGAAGGCCTCTGCAGACTACCAGAAATAGTGCAAATTGAATCCACTTTAAGGGTTAGGGTTAGTGCTAGGGAATCATGGGAATTGTTTTCCCCCCCCTGAGATATTGAGCCTTCTCTGTCAGAGAGCTCTAGTGCCACAATAAAATACAGTTCCCATGATTCCCTAACCCTAACCCTTAAAGTGGACTCAATTTGCACTATTTCTAGCAGTCTGCAAAGGCCCAGAGTCTGTCCCAGGGTAAGAGACTGAATAGCAGAGTCCTTTAAATTCCTTAAGTCTTGACCAAGTACCTCACTTTTACTGCTCTTGCTGCATATTAATTGGGAAAGTAGCAAGAGGAAAGCCATTGGGAAAAAAGAGAGCCCCTCAATCACTCTCAAAATGGACCCTCCGGGCTAGATTATGGATAGAACATTCTCATGGCTACAAACCAATCCATAATCAATTGTTAAACTGGATTATGTGGATTTCAACTAACAGTCCTATTGCCTTCAATGGGATTAAATGCCCTACTTTCAAGGACTTTTGAGGAGAAATCTTTCTTGGCAGTTATGGTCCCAAGCTCTGAACTGTGACCTATTAGGGAAGCTAGATTGCGATCTTGCTTGCTGCCTTAACTGGGCAGATAACTATATTTTCCTTTTACACTTAACTGCTATGTCTTTACATTCTTTACATTCTGTTTTTAAACAGAATTCTTTACATTCTGTTTTTAATTCTTATGCTTTTATGCTTTGTTGTTGTGGTGTGTCTTCAAATCATTTCCGACTTATGATGACCTCAAGGGAACCCTATCATTAAGTTTTCTTGGCAAGATTTGTTTAGAGGGGGGTTGGCTTTGCTGTCCTCGGAGGCTGAGAGAGTATGACTTGCTCAAGGTCACCCAGTGGGTTTCCATGGCTGAGCAGGGATTCTAACCTTGGTCTCCAGGGTTGTAGTCCAATGCTCAAACTACTACACCACACACAGGCTCCCACTTAGCACGTCTATTTGTATTATTTTATTGTAAGTCCAATTCAATCCCATTTCTGGGAGGTTTGGAGTTGGGGGAGAGAACTATCTGGCCAGAACAGGGAAGTCTCATCTTCTATATCTTTTCCCACGCTCCAAAGATAGTTAGATGGATCAAGATAGTAGAGTGGCAGTGGGGATTGTGATTTTGCACCCCTGGCAAAACTTACATCCATCAAAAGAGTAGACTTAATTCCTACTGTCGTATATAATCACACTAATAAGGTACCAGTGATGTGCTGTCAGCATCATAAAATATCAAATGCCAGCTACTAAAAAAAAACCCAACCAAAAAACTTGGAGCCTGCTTCTCACTACATTCTCCTGGCAGGTGGTAACATAATTGTGTTTGCAAACAAACACATGACTCCATCAGGTCTATCAAATCAGTTTCAGGGCCACATTACATGATCACATGAGGTCAGCTGATAAATGGGCCAAATGCTCCCCATTTCTCACCATGATGCTTCACTGTGGCTCACATCTGGTCCATGCTTTTTTTCCCCCTACAGGTGTGAGAGAAAAAATGAAAAGAGGAAGGGTGGGATGGAGGGGAGGTTTGCTAGCTTTTCTGGAAGCTTGAGAGAAACATCAGTTCAGAAGGCAGAAGGGACTTTCAAAAAAAAAAAGATTAACATCAAGGCATCATAATTTCTGATCATCTTATTTGTCTGTAAGTCTCTCAAAGCCTGGGAAAGGTACTTCTTTTCCCAGAATGCTGCAAGAACATACACAATAAGGATTTAAATGCCTTCTCAATGGGTGATTGGACTCAGACTGGGAACACATAAATAGAATGGGGCTGTTGTGATTGAGTCATGCAAGTTCATTAGCCGAGGAGAATGGAGAAAATATTTTACATCACAGAATTTTTTACACATGGATGAATGTTGCTAGCTGCTAATCATTTTATTGTCTCTCCCACCTTGTTGTTTTGTGCCTTCAAGACCTTTCTGACTTATGGTGACCCTAAGGTGACCCTATCATGGGGTTTTCTTGGCCAGATTTGTTCAGAGGAGGTTTATCATTGACTTCCCATGAGGTTGAGAGCATGTGACTTGTCCAAGGTCGCCCATGGCCTTGGTTTCATGGCAGAGCTGGGAATGGAACCCTGGTCCCCAGAATCACAGTCCAACACTAAAACAACTATGCCACACTGACTCTATTATTATAGAATCATGAAGTTGGAAGGGGCTTCATTGACCATTGAGTCCAATCCCCTACGCAGTGTAGGATCTCTAGCTAAAGCATCCCTAGCAGCTGGCCTTCTAGCCTCTTTCTGAAGATGTCCAGAGGAGACCAACCACCTCTCTAGGCCAGGGGTAGGCAACCTTTCCCCTTTAAGGGCCAAGGGACTTCAGCTCCCAGAATCCCAGGATCTATTGGCCAACATGGGACTATTGGCCAACATGGCTGAGGCTTCTGGGAGCTGAAGTCCCTCGGCCCTTAAAGGGGAAAGGTTGCCTACCCCTGCTCTAGGCAATTGGTTCCATTGCCAAACCACTTACTCTTAGAAGTTTCTTCTAATGTTCAATCAGAACCTACCCTCTTGTAACTTCACAATATTGGACCTGGTCCTATCTTCTGAGGCAGCAGAGAACAGGCTTGCTCTCTACTCTCTTTGATAGCCCTTGAGGTTTTAAAGAGTGAAATAGTATCATCTCTCAGCTTTCTCTTCACCAAGGTGAAGCTCTTTCAAGCTTTTCTCAAATGTTTTATTCTCTATAACTCTTATCATCCTTGTTGCTCTTCTCTGAACATGCTTCCACGTCTCTATATCCAGATAAGGCCTGATCAACTCATAATACTGTTGTTGTTATGTGCCTTCAAGTCATTTCCCATTTATGGAGACCTTAAGGCAAACCTATCCTGGCAAGAGTTGTTCAAAGGAGGTTTGTCTCCTGAAGCAGAGAGCATATGACTTGTCCAAGGTCACCCAAGTAGGTTTCATGGCCGAGCTAGGAATCTAACCCTAGACTTCAGAGTTGTAATCCAACCCTCCAACCACTATACTACACTGGCTTGCATTCAGAATATAGTGCGACTTCATATTTGTAAGAGCGACCCTCTATTTCACTGAAGTTTCTTATTTTGTTGGCCTGACATCCAAATACCTGATTCCATGAACTCAAGGCAGAGGGAAGTTAACACCAGTCATCCTTGGGTAGTTGCTAGGGCCTGCTTGAACTAGCCCTTGCCCTCACATATACCATCTACTGCTCTTTAAATTTCCACAATGCCTGACCCAGCTGTCTAGTGCTGCTTGAGGAACTGCCACCTCGACTTGGCACACCTGCCAAGACCCACTGAGTGAAGTACCAGGCCCCTCAAAACTATGGGGAGAAATTCTACGCTTTGGACTTTATTTTCTGCAAAACACAGATGATGCACCTGGAGAGACACCCATGTCATATAGTAAACTGTTTTTGAACAGAGGGAAAAAAATTAAAACCTGTTTGCCATGTGTGGAGAAGTGTGGAGACTCAGTTGTTCAGAGAAATAACCAAGAATTCCACTTTGCTGTCATTTAAATCTGGCTTTGGCATGCACTTGTCTATGGCTCTTGTATATTTGAGGAGTTTAGGCTTTTTAAATATGCCTAGGCTCATTAAAAATTCCTGTATATAATTTCACCTTTTGAAGCAAAGCCTCCTCAAGGCAATTTGCAAGGTAATATTTTCAAGTGAGAACATATGATCTGCAACTAGCTCAAGCAGCATAAAATTAGGAGGGAAATAACAGGAAAAATCAATTTTAAAACAACAGCAATCATGACAATTGCCACTTTACACTGCAGATGTGGAAGATATCAGTGCTGGTTCCTCCCTGAAAGTCAGTCACACTATAATGTGACCTAAAACAAACTGCTTGTAACTCTGGTAAAAAAAATTCAAGGTTTTTCCAACCTACTTACTGGCTAGGAAAACTTGAAACCTGTGGAAAGTGAAAAGAAATGTTCATCAGTTGGGTTCAGGGTGGAAAGCTGAGCCACCTTGTCACTTAATGACTGCCCCAAAAGCATACAGTATATGAAATATGTCCTCTGAAACTGGCTTGCTATATCACTGTATTGCTGCAAATAACTTTTAAATAACGTTAATTATTATTAGTTTCTGGTGATGGCCTGAGAGAAAACCTTCTTGGTGGCTGCTCCAACTCCCTACCAAGGTAGGCTCAGTTGGGTCCCTCTCTGATCTCTTTCCAAGGATGGGCAAATACCACCAGGCCTTCAGCTTTTAACTGGTTGGGGTAGAAGGATGTGTAATCTGTGTGCTGTTTTTTAAAAAATATGTAATGTATGTTGTATGTGATTTTGTTTTCAATTAATGTTTTCAACTTAATGTTTCAATTGGCTTGACTATTAATTTTCTTTAAGCATTTGTACCACCTATTGTTTTAGCTATTTGGTTTTAACTTATATTATAAGATGCTGTGGGTCTCATACTGGGACGAAGACAGAATGTTAATCAAATAAATAAATGAAATAATATAATTATAAACGCTAACTAAAAACAGAATTGCTTAAATTTGGGAGGTGTGTGGCATGCTGTACAAAATGGAGGTTATGAAGAATCATCTGGCTCTCTGAGATTAATCAGTTCCTAAGAACATGGAACCTTTGGTCCTTAAAATGTTTATGGACTACAGCTATCCAATCCTTTATAATTGACAATGCCTGCTGGGGATTCTGGGAGTTGAAGTCCAAAACATCAAGATGACCAAAGTTTTCTTACCTTTGTCTTAGAATGCCTTCTCTGCCTAGTTCACTACCTGTAGTGAAGGTAGTAGAAAACTGCATACACAACTACAATCCTGCTATCCTATAGCTCAGGGGTAGGCAACCTAAGGCCCGGGGGCCGGATGCGGCCCCTCAAGGCCTTTGGACCGGCCCCAGGCTGGTCCTGCCGCCGCTGCCATGATGATATTGATTGTTTTTATTACTTGTTCTTGGAGTTTTCTTGGCAAAATCTCCACAGGGGTTTTGCCATGGCTTTTCTGGGGCTGAGAGAGTGTGCATGCATATTTTTTTTTAATTTTAAATATTTTTTTACTTTTTATTTTTTTATTTATTTTTGGTGCTTCGGCCCCCCAATTGTCTGAGGGACAGCAACCCGGCCCCAGGCTCAAAAAGGTTGCCTACCCCTGCATAGCTGCTTGTTTTAATGAGATTATACAGGGTTAAACTCAGATATTGTGGAATATCTACACTGTGATGGAACTAATAATTTGCAAGCACCCCTGACCCTCCATCTCAAGGTGCATTCCTAATCTTTGTATCAAAGTCACCCTGCTACCTTCCAGTATGAAATAAAGGATAATTCATAATTGCTCATAATTGACTTGTAGCTGAATTTACCACAGGAGGCATAAACTTCATTTCCAGAAGGAAAATCATAGAGCTTAGACAATTTATTTATTTATTTGGATTGTAATGCCCAAAACCCCTCACCTAACATGGCACTTGACCATGTTGATTTGAGGACTGTAGCAGCACATATTTTCCAAGGCCTGACATTTTGTCTCTTGCAGCAAAAAAAATTAGCAGAGAGCCCTGTGACATCTTAAAGATCAGCCAATTTATGATAGTGTAAACTGTCATAGATTAGAATATGCATCAGCAGACAGTGATAAGAATTTATTCAAATGGAAGATATGCATGTGACTATGGAAGTCTGCATGAAGCAGTGACTGGACTGCTAGTGAAGAGAATAATTCACTAGAGAGATCCAAAGGTTCGTCATAGGCAGAGCCAATTATATTTTCTGTAAAACAAAATACATTTTTTGGGGGGGGGGCAGGTAAGAAGGTCTGTTAACACATAGTGATGGTCCACATCTATCTTCATCCAAAGGCTGTTGCCCCAAACCCAAGCAAGTTAATACAATTTAAATCCTTTACATGTTTACTAATTTAAGACCAATTGAGTTCAGTGGAACTTTTCCCTCATGGGTATGATTTTGCACAGGGTCCCTGGAGCTGTTTTTTAAGATGGGGAGGGAGCCCAAGACTGTCAGATGGGTCATTATGATTTTTGCACACTTGCATGTATGTTTTTATAGCATAAAAACACAGAATGCAGTGAATAAATAATAATAATACCACCCAACAAAGCAGCTAACTACCATGAAGACAAGGAAAGGGGGAAATTAATAGTAACAATAAAAAGTGGTACATATTTACTTCTTACCCACCTCTCCCTATGGATAAGCAAATCCATAGATGGCTATAAATTAGAGCATTTAGGACAGGATTTATAGTTTATCAGAGGACTCAATTTCACAAGAATCTTAGCAGTCCTGATAATTTCAGAGAGGGCTCAGCCCCCCAACTTAACTTTAGGAGAGCTCAAACCCACAGCTTCATTGCAGTCAATGGGTTTTAAAACAGTACAACTGGCTTTTTTGTGTGTGTTTGTGCGCACCTTCAAGTCACCTATGAACTTGACTCCATTAATTTCAAAGGGTTTTCTTAGGCAAGTTATATTCAGAGATGAAGTTAGAATCATACAAGCCATTGTTCTCCCTGTTACCATGTACTGTTGCAAAAGCTGGACAGTGAGGAAAATGGATAGGAGGAAAATCAATTCATTTCAGATATGGTGCTGGAGAAGAGTGCTGAGGATACCGTAGATAGCCAAAAAGACAAATAAATGGGCCCTAGAACAGATCAAGCCTGACATCTCCCTGGAAACCAAGAAGATAAAGTTTGGTCACATCATGAGAAGGCAGGACTCATTGGAAAAGACAATAATGCTAGGAAAGGTGGAGGGATGTAGAAAGAGAGGAAGATCACATGCTAGATGGATGGACTCTATTAAGGAGTATAAATTTACAGGACCTAAGCAGAGCAGTGGAAGATAGGGAGTCTTGGAGATGCCTCATCCACAGGGTCACCATGAGTCAGGATGGACTCAAGGGCAGTTAACAACAATAACTCTGGGATGTTTGCTAGTTCCTTCCTCTGAAATATAGCCTACAGCACCTGGTATTCATTGGTGATCTACCATCCAAGTACTAACCAGGTCTGGTTAGCAGCCAAGATCAGACAGGACCTGATGCTTAGGGTATTTAGGCCCTACTTTTTACTAAGGCATATATAGAAAAGCAATCTGTTAGAGCAGAGGTAGCAACAGCAGCAGGTCTGGAGAGCATTCCCCTCTC